AAGGGGATAAAGCAAAACTACAATACTCTGAAGCATAGATTAAGTGCGTATATGACGAGAATATTTCTTTGACTTCCATAAAAAGTTGTATTTCTATTCATTGCTAATGTACTGTATATTGCTAAGTAGGATAAAAGAAAAATAAGCAGGACGTCATAGTACTGACTGGAATGAAGTGGTGTTCAATAAGCAATATTACCCAGTCATCCATACAAATATCGCTTTTTATGTAAGTTCAAAGGAAAAATTGAACCGGGACTGACAGCTGTGACAGGAATTTGTACTGGAACCTAATACCACGCAAGTTTTACGGCTGGGGTTGAAATTCTCGCTTGAATTCTATAATGGACTGAAAATTACTTGAACCGAAATTTCGGTCTCAGCGGTCTATCGATCAATAAAACATTCTCAAAGTTTCACCTTAAAAGCCGGTTTTAATGTCCTTAGATTATATGCATTTAGTAAATATCTGTGTACTTGAGTATTGAAGATAAAAATAACATCTTGTGTTCGAATACATATACGTACGATGAAAGAAAGCATAGACAAGAAAATTTCAAAAAAATTATTGTCACTGCATACGATTGAACAAATCGATACAGATGTCTGATAATTAGAAATGATTTCATAACATATTCTTTAAATCAATTACATTCTAAATCTATTTAGAACAATGCATCGACAAGCTCACTAAATACACATCAAACAGTTGTTAATAAACGAAATCCTATCAAGCAACAAAATTTCAATGAATCGAAGAATAGCTACAAAACACTATTTGTATCGGGACTAAAACGTAGTGTGAGTATACGGGATATATACAGCTATTTCAATGGTTGTATAAGAGTGACAATCAAGCCGAATCGTTCAGTACCACATCTAAAGTATGTTATAGACGGCCTATGTGCTACATTGCTGAGAGGTGTTTTTTCTAGATATGCATTTGTTGATTATCACACGTCTGAACAGGCCCAGCACGGTCTTTATCAACGTGTGGACCGATCTCTTCTTGGTCATGAATGCCGTGTCGAATATGCCATTTGTCAGCCAAATATTTCCAAAAATCATCAAAGCATTGACAATAAAAAAATTGTAGTTACTCAAATACCAGAAAACGTCAGTGAAAATGATTTGCGCCGCTTATTCAGGCAGTGTCGTATACTGAAATATTCTCCGGCACGCTTTTTACATCGTCCACCTACGGTAACGAGAACAAAATGCAAGGATAAAATTTTATTAGGGTAAGAATAATGAACTTCACTGTATTGCTTTGTTTAGTATCTATTCGTTCTTTTGATAGTTTAATATTGAATTAATGTAGCCATCGTCTAGCATT